AAAAAAAAAAAAAAAAAAAAAAAAAAAAAAAAACAAGAAAATCACAAAAGAATTTTTATTTCGAAGTGAGTATAACGTCTACTAAAAATTAGTTTTAGAGCGAATTAATGACACTTAAAATCTAGAACCTTAGTATTTAATATTAATTCTGGCTGGTTTCGCCAGGTGGTAATTACAGACGATCATGTCGGCGATTTATAATTAGAGACCCCACTGATAGTGTTGATATATAGTATGATTTGGCATAGCTCAAACTATTTTGATAAATCGTTTGTATCTCAAACGCGTCAAGATTCGATTGGTGCCAAAATCATCATGTTATACTATATTGGTTCTTTGCAATGTTTGTTGCAAACTTGGCCAGTTTTATAGGATTGTGAAGATATAGGCCAAAACGATGATTATCTTGAAGTAGAATACCATTCATAAATCATATAGTGGATTTTTTTGGATGCCTTCGACTGGGAGAGTCTCTTCTTAAAATTTTAGAAGTTCTTCTTAAACAGTGATTGGAAGATTCCAACAAAGTATTTTTGTTATCATCTTTACTGAAATCATGATTTAATAACAAACAAATATAACGCTTAATTGTTAGAAGTCAAAAAAAGGGCACCGCTGCGTATGCGTAACCACAGTTGGTTGATATGTGTTATTTTTTCATAATATAGTAGTAAATATGCTGAAGAAATGTAATTTTTTAAGACTAATATGTGAAAAACGTCTGTATTAAAACAGCAATAATATAATAAAAATAATAAAATAATAAATGAAAATCTGCCTTTTTTCTTCTTTACTGGTGTAAACAGCGCTTACGCGGTTATAGCTTCTGTGAATCTGGCTAGATAGTACATAATAAAGCTACTTTTCTGTTTCAAATTATACCTATTCCAACCTGTCTTTCCAGTATACAGCTATAAATAAATCCGCTCTGTGAAATTCTAATTAATTTGAGATTATTTTCACAGCCACATTTGCTGTTAATAAATGCATTTCAGTTGTCCTTCTTGCACAATATCCGGTTCTTTCTCAGATTTTAAGATTTCATTCGATCGAAAGTGGCACAAATCTATTTAAATCCGCAACGTCACCGTCTCTCGTCTAACGCGACGTTGTCATCCACGCATTCTCCGCTGCTGTTGTTGCTGCAGTTCGGTGTGACGCTGCACTTTCAATAAAAACTACAAAATATTATAACAGAATTGTCATAAATTGAGAAATGAGCCGGCGAAAAGCTGAAAAGTTTGCCGACGCCAACAGTTGAGAGCGCAAAAACACGAGCAATGGCGCAAGAGAGTGGCGCAAGTTGCTCGTGTGGAGCGGCAGTGAGTGAGAATGCCGGTGAGCGACAGAGTGGGTGCAGTACCAAGTGCGGCATTGCATCGGCGCAACATGCAAAAATGTTGCGAAAAATATTTTTCCGCCAAAGAGGCGAAAAAGCAATTTAAGCAATTTAAATGGAAGCCAAATGAGCGCCATTAGAAACTAAATTTTCCATAAGAAAACACACACTCACTGCTTTGGCATGTGCGCAGAGCTGCACTCGTTACAAAAACCAAAGCACACACCTCATTGTTGCAACAAAACAAAGCAAATGCGATTAAATGAAGACAACAAATCACACATCTCGCTCCCAACAATTCTCCGCGTTCGCAACTCTGCCCGAGCTGTGGCATAAATTCTCAAACATTTTCAGGCCAGACGGTGTATGCAGCTGTGTGTGTTTGGATGTGTAGGTGTGCATATGTTTGTGTGGGCATGCACTGAACACACATCTACAAACACACGCACACCTGTTGCGCGGCAGCGCCGATGAGTTTACGTGGGCGCATCGCACCAACACGCACTCACATATATTTGTGTTGGTGAGGAAAATCTCTTTCTCTCTATAAAATATTTCAACAAATTATGTGGTTTTATTTTGAGCAGCGAAATAACAAAAATAAATAAATCCCACTGTAAGATGTCTGCATCATTACGGAGAAGTGGAAATATTTTAGAGAGGGTTACTTGGAATGGTGACAAGGGGCTTGTTTAGGAATAACGTTTTCATAGAATATTTAAAAAATTTAAGCATCAAGATTAACCTTTTTTTTTGAATTTTTTCAATATTTATGTTTGCAGTTTATTTTTATTAATATTTTTTTAATAATAATTAAATTTTTATTGTTGCCATATATTATTTACTGTGTTTGCTGTGAATAGTAATATTCTTTTAATTCCATCATTAAGTTTCAATACATATGTTTGTATGTTCATATTCGAGTAATTCGAATATTTTTACATAAAAAAGTAAATAATATTTTTCTTGCATTTTTTATGAATTTTTGGAACTTTCTGGAAATATATATTTTTTTTATATATTAATGTTTTTTTTTAATTTTTATATATTTTACAATATTTTTTAACCATTTGGGTCTTTTGCAAGATTTGGCGCATGGTGAAAATCTGGTCGATAGTAGATTTTTCATGTCTAAAGCTACACTGATGCGGTCCAATCAGTTTGCTGACGGTGGGCTTTAATCTTTCACACAATACGCTTGATAAAACTTTATGTTTAGGAGACGGGCGCAGATAGTGGGGTTTGCCTTTTTGTGAATTTGGCAGAGCACACTTAAATTTCAATCGTCGGGCATGCTTTCATTCGACCATATCTTGGAAAGAAGATGAAAATAGTCATTATTCTTTCGAAGTTTAGAGCTAATACAATATTGTGATGATATCGTAATACGACTACGAGTCTATTCAAAGTAATTAGCCTCTATGATACTAAGACTGCATTACCATTATTTATAATAATTATTAGTTGAATAACTTGTCTCACCAATTCTCTGTTCGTTCCGCAGGAACATCTTGTCAAGAAATGTAGTTGTAAGAGGAACAAAGAATTTGTGAAGTACTTTTTAATACAGAAGAATATACATCGCTTTGAAGTCGTATAACGTCCTGAAATTTTAAAGATTTTTGGGCTAGTTGTTTGTTCGATTCACCACACTGGAATAATATTTGATTCAGTTATGAGAGCTAAACTCTTAACGTTGCGATGTTCAGAAGTTAATTACTAGAATTTGCTCATAAACATTAACAGAGAGGAACATTTTTTTTTTCAAATTCTATTATTTAATTACGGTCATTAACCTTACATAAAATTTTCCAACTAAGCCGCTGTAAAAGAAAACATACTCATAAACTATAGAACATTTTAATAAATTTACAAAAGAAAATTTTCGCTTGGCGAAGCGCACAGCGCATCTTTCGCACTCACCCACCGGCACCTAGCTGAGAGCGAACGCTTGTGCTCGGCATGCCGAAGATCGGCAAGCTCACTGCTAACGAATTTGAATATCTGACGCAAAGGGATGCCGCTTTCCACTATGCATTTATAATTCGTTTTATGATATTTTTCTTTTTTTACTTTAGAAAATCATATCGTATCATATCAATTCTAAGCGTATTAAGTCGAGCAGCCGCCGCATCACAGTGGCCGAGTGTAAATTGTTGACTGCAACGTGTTGAGCGTCGCGCGTCGCGCGTCGAAGTTGGGGCGCGCTGCTTGTGGCGAGTTGGCAGTCGGAAGCTGATTTCGTATTTAGTCGTTTGACAACGCGCCGTGCAAGCGTAACGTACGCGCAACAGCCATCACAGCCGCGGCGATAGCGAATACGCGTAGAGGCAGACGCGTGCCAACACTTTTACACATTCTTCCCCACATTTCACGCTGAGCACACAGTAAATGAAGAAAAGTGGGGAGCCCCAAAAAAAAAAATACTTCAAATAGAAATTGTGTATTTTTTCGCTCGCTGAATTTTAAAAATAAGTACCAAGCGGTGCGCGGCGACAAATAGTGGTGACTGCTACAAACACAAGAAAAAGAAAAAGAGGAAAGCAACAAAAAATAACGAAGTGAATTCAATGTGTCTTTTAAATAAAAACTGCAGCTGCACAAATAAAAATGACGTGACAAGCTAGTGCGCGTTCGCATCCGCGTACATAACGCCGCGGCGCTCCACTTTTGCAACGCGCGCATATACATACCTGTGTGCGTGTTCTTCTAAAGCATCTAGTAAATCTATACAGTTGTGGTGCATTTTGTGTGCCGCTGCCGGGTTATGCATGTACCGTTATACGAGTGAGTTTTCAGTTTGTTAAGCCATTGCGTCAGGATTGCTTAGGGATCAACCGGTGCGGCGCGTACAAAAAGTGCAGCGCGCGTGCAATCAATACACCCAAAAGTGAGCGCGTTACAAAAATAACAAAAGATATACATTCATATGTTGTGCATAGTGTTTATTTGTATGTGCTTGTATTTACGCGTTTATATGCATATGTGTGCGTAACGAATTTTTACTAGTCATTTTGCGCGTCGCTTAGTTTATACGTGAGCGCTGGATTTTGGCAAGTGTTGTGCACTATCTACTTACCCGTTAGTGAGCGCGGCCGTTTTGCGCGCTGCAGTTAATGCGCGTAAAGCATTAATTGGCAATTGAAAATACATTAGAGGTCCTTAAGTGCATTTAAATGAACTGCGAAGTAAAAGAAAAACAGAAATATATTTGTGCGTTTGTGTACACATATTTACATGAGTATATATGTTTTTTCAAAGAAATAGCTATAAAAAGAGTTTCTGAAAGCGCGCTCGGTTCTTTAGTGACAGCCATGCGCCATTCGATTCGCCACAACCCCTGATTGGTGTGATCAAAAGTGATTGAACGGTAGTGCCCCAGCGCGACGCGAGCCAGACAACGCCAATACATACCGCGCAGCGCAATTAGAAGTGTCAATGATAATTGATTGAAGAGCGGCGGCCAGCGCGCTTCGTACAAAAAGTTAATTCCACGCTAGTCGCTACTAAAAATTATTAGAAAAGTATACAAAGCAAAGTAATATAAAGAATAAAAATTACAAAAAAAAAAAAAAAATTAAGCAGCGTGTTACATAGGTGTTAATCAGCGTCAATTTAACTACATTAATTTTTATTAAAAGTGCTCACTCAAGTAATTGCCAGCCACCCGACTGCCAACGTTCACACGGCATTAAAAGTGTTTATTTGAATGTGTAAAGCAAATGCTGCAAATTGACTAACAAAGACTGCCAAACTAAATTATAAAAATAAAATATTTTTGTTTTTGTGAAAAAATAAACTTTCAATTAATTCAAGCGAAATCGTACAAGCGCGCGTGCAACCCACGGCACAGCGCTTCTGCGCAATAATCGGCGAAGGTGCATTGTAAATCGAGCAAGAAAGCAAATATACGCAAGCGAAAAGTGGCAAAGCAACATTGTGTCATAAAATAGAAAAGCAAACGATAAAATTCAATTCAACGCATATGAAACGGAAGCAGGCGCAGCGGGTGTAAACAGATTTTAGCAACGAGTTCACGGCTGGCGTTTGTGCCAAATACGCAATCATGTCTTCCTACCGCAGTAGTTATGTAAGTAAAGTGTGCTATTTGAAAGAAAATATGTAGGTAAACATACACCTACATATGTAAAGTGTTTAGTTAGTGCTCTGTTCCATATCAATTGTATGTACTTTATGTTACTTTCTGCCGAATATTTTGCAGTGTGCTTTATGAATTGTCAGTTGTTTGAATATTTGAGCTTTGTAGTATTTTCGCTTCGTTTGCCGTCATTTAAAGTATTTAGTCAGTAAAGTTTTTAGTCGAAATGTGTTTCGAAGACATGCACCACTTAGTAAAATCTCTTCAAACGTCATTGCTAATGTTTAGATTCCAGTTGGTGGTCATTTAAGCCAAAATATTTGCTTGTGGACTTTTGGTGCTAGAGCTGTGCGGAGAACTAATGGCGCTAAAATATTTGAAGCTAGCTAAGCTCTTTATAGGTTTACTAAAATAATTTAATAACAAACAAAATATTTGAAAAAATATACTTTTCTGGTAAATCGTCAAATCAAAATCTGGTCTCATATAAGATAGTTTCTTGCTCGAATATATTTTGGAAATTAAATTCGCTAAAAGTCTTTAATCTTCCAAAATGTCGAGAACTTGTTTTTCTAGTTTTTCCTTTGATCAAAAACTCTCAAAAATACGATTTCAATGTATTTTGAGCAAAAAATATTTTATGTCAGACAGTAAATCAAGGAAAAGTGTAATGAGCTTTTTTGTTGTTTTTTGGGAACGTAGTTTATTTGATTATGTTAAGGAAATTCAAATGTTTTTCTTTTAAAAATTGTATGTTTTTCGAAAACCCAAAAACCAACGACTTCAAATAACCCCACAAGAAGTAGTCTAATGGTGTTGAATCACAGCTTCTTGGAGGCCATTCAATGTAAAAATTTCTTGAAATAATCGAATCTGCAAACTTTTCTCGCAATATTTCGGTTGCTGCGGTTGTGGCACGTAGCCCCGTCTTACCAGATGTTGCCGTCTAATCAGACCGCACAGCTTAGACACAACTGAGCCTAATCGGTGAAGATGAGTTTCTTAATCATTTTTTAATATTTTGATAATAAAACTGAATAACGTGTAAATGTTGTTCTTGCGTATATATTTCAATGACTAAATTGTAAACAATATTGAATACAATGAAAAAAAAAAAACACCGAACGTGACATATCAAAAATGGTCGAAACGATAGTTAGAAATCATATTAAACCTATTGGTAATCACGGTATAAGTATATACACAACTGATAATTATTTGAGTGATTTTTAAATTGTTGTATTGTTTGTGAATCTATATTATGTGGAAGCTTAGATTTGATTTGAGCTGCGGTTGCGTGCAGTTTCGTAAGAGAGGTCATATGCTTAAGGTCGAATTTAATTCGGAAAAATTTTTATGTATGAAATAATATAAATTCCTTTAAATTTCAATTTAGGTATTTTCATAAATTTATAATGATAATACTTAAGTCAAAATCTAATTCTTTATATCTCCTTTAATAAGGGGTCAGTGGTTTCTTTTGAAAGATTGATACATTACTCAAACATATTTTGATACGCTAAATTTTCCATGAAGTTGGTAACATCCACAAAAAAAGTCGGAGGCCCTATAAAATATACAGGTTTGTATACATAAATGTTCAGAGAGACGAGCTGAGGCGTTTTGGCCATTTTCGTCTGTCTATCTGTATATATATATGCTAACTAGCCCCTCAGTTTTTGTTATGTCCTTTAAAATTATCCACGCGTACTTTTCTCCCCAAGAATCTGCTCATTTGCTGAAATCGTCGATATCGGACTCCTATAGCATATAACTGTCATGCAAAATTATCGTTCGAAATCCAGTTCTAGTATAGGAAACTGTTATATTCCACATGATATCTTCACAAAAATTGGCAATGATATTATCTCCAAACAAAGTGAACATTTGATCCTTCAAATTTTAAAAATCAGAAAGCAATTAAAATAAAGAAATAAAATTTTGCCTGAGTAGTGCCTTTGAAGTATGCTAATGAGAAATAATTGTCCAAATCGTATCAAACAGGTTTTAAGTACCGAATATGTTGACTCCAGTATATATGCTTGACTTTTTATCAAAAATATTGGTTCACGTGTCAGACTTATAATTGAAATGATTTGAGGAAAGAAATGGATTATTCCTAACAGACATACTAGTCTGTATATTAGAAATGACTTGAAACGAGTTAATACTCTTCTCACTTCCCATGTATCTAATAAAAAGATATTTGAACTTCCGGGTGACTTTATACCGCATATAACATTCAGAGAGTGTTTTCTAATGACACTGCATCTTTGTGCTTAGAATAAATAAAATCGGATAAATTTGGGCTAAATACAATATAACTACCTAGCTTTATGTGCCTGAAGGGATTATCCTTGCAATTTGCTAAAGCATGAAATGTTTTACACTAATTGTTCTTTACTTGCTTTTCTATTAAAACTGAATATAATCTTTATACCATCATTCTTTATCAATATTCTAATATATGTACTTTCAAATGTACTATATGAATTGAAGTTTGCATTATTTGTGATGCTATTATACTGCAGGTAGACCATCCTTAATTCAGTAAAGGGTAATCCTTTTTAAAAGTTCATTAATAAAAAAGTCCAAGGTGAAATGACATCTCAGCAAATCCACTGTGGAAATCAGCAGATCACAAATTAAATTATTAGCTGTATACATTGCATGGAGAATTAGTAAAGGAAAAATAAATATGCCAAAATTCATAAACATAAAAGCGCATAATTCATAAAACAATTAAAAAAATTATGAACTTACACACATATACATATACATTCACAATTTTTATATTTCCGTGCATTTTCCAAAACGAAACTCTCTCCACATGAAAGTCAGGCATATTTTCAGCTTTCTCATTAACTGTTTGGCTTGCGATTTGTTTCCTCTTTACTTCGGTATTTTTTATCCAAATAGTTTAGTTGGAATCACTTTACAAATAGCTCACCATGCAGGCACAGAGCCGCGGCAATTGTTTGCTTTATAAATACATCTATAAATAAGTAAAACGTAGATTAGTTTTGGTGCGATATTCCTATCACGGCAGGTATTCTCTGTACCGACTAACGCCAGCGCTTGTTAATGGTACAATTTTCTAGCTGAAAATTTTCAAAAGATATGCTCGTGTTGTTGGCTTTTGTTTTTGTTAAAAAAAAAATTTCGTTTTTGCGTAAACAGATTTGGTTATATCAACAGTGCACACACATATATTATATTTAGCTGTTTTGTGTATCTTATCTCGCGCATCTGTATATCCAGATCTCCCACTCAATTTTCAAGCTATACGTTTTTTCTATTTTTTTATTTTTATTTTTTAATTTTTGAATATTTTTGTTGTATTTTGGCCACCGCTCTGCCTAATTTTCAACAAAACTGTGTACTTGCTCCATTTTCCTCACTTCTGCTTTACTTTGATTTTCTTTTAAATATTTGCATTATTCTATTCGCTCGTTTGTTTTTAGTATGTTACCCCTTTTATATTTCATTTGTTTATTTTTTGGCGGATTATTTACATTTTGTTTGCGCTTTAATTGATAAAATCAAGGTTCTGTCAATTTGTTGGTGGAGTGATTGTTTTAGCTAAACTGGCAGTTTGTGTCGACACAGATTTTTCTCTTGATTTTGAAGGTTAAGACATTCGTCGTTAAATTGACATAAAGCAAGCAGATGGTAAAAGATAATTGTGCTAAAAAATAAGGCTTTTAATGCCTGAAAATCTTGCTTAAAATGTTTTTCTTTCAAATGTTGAGAAATCGCTTGTTTTTGTAATAAAATAGTTCAAAAAAGACAAAAATTAATATTTATTTTTAAATTATATAAAAAATAGAATCATTTATTTACATTTATAGTAATTTTCAGCGTTGTCTTATTGTCTAACATCAAAGATAGTTATTTGTTATACATGACGTATGAGTAACATTTTACTCTAAAGATACTTCAAATGCCATAGTTATTTGGTAACCTTGGCGTATGAATAACATTTAACCTTAGTGTTTTCCACAAATATGATATTGAAAAAAAAAAGATTTACAAGAAAATCAGTTATTGTACATTTGCAATCTTAAACAAAAATTTCTTAATAAATTTAGGTAACAAAAACTTTTTATGATGACAATTTCGTTATTGTTGCAGTGTTAAGCGATTTAAGGTTGTACGCAGGCATGCTATACTGCCAATCAGGTTAATGAAATATTTTTAGACTCTCAGGTCAGTTATCGGGTGGCAATCCGACAACACTAAATTTTGAATAAGTTAAGTTGACCTGCCAGTGAGCCTAAGGCCTTCCTGCAATGGGCCTTGCCCATATCTAGTACTTTCCTTAGAAGGTGCTAACAGAGTTTGGTAGAGGGAAAGAGAGAGATGTCAAGAGCATCGGACTATAACTCCACTTCGGCTCCATCGACAATTCCGGAATCGTCAATATAAATAGAGGTAGTATTCTTCTCACCTATTAAAGTTCTTCTCCATTGAAGTCGTACCCAAAAGTGAAATCTAACCTGGGTAGTAGTCTAACTTAGATACCAAAAGTTTAGCTGGTTCAGGATAGTGCTAAGACCATAATTATTAGTTTGGAACCGGACCTTTTGTTTCCTTTACTTCGGAGGAACAGAGCTTACAGAGCTTGCTGATTACGATTTTCGTAATTAAGTCAAACATAGTTTCGCTTCGTATATGGGAACTTTAATAACTCTTGGTATCTGGAGAGCCTACGAGTGGTTAACTCGTCTCAATTATACAATCAAAAACTATTTGGAATGAATTATGAATTAGAAAATAGTTATAATAGACTCCTTGACTGAGTAATCAGGCTAGTACAAGCATTACTTTGCAATTTTTAGTAGGTCTCAGCCAATGCAATTAACTTTTAATTGACCAAAATTTCTATTATATTTTGAGGCAAAATCTTGACTTTCATTAAACCACTTTATATTTCTTACACTCGCCTTAAAATACTTACTTGCCCAGTCAATAGTACACAAATCAGACAA